GGGGGGCCCGGGGGAGCCGTTGGTGGAGCGGTTAAGCCGGGCTGGCCTGGGCCGCCACGTTGGGCGCGGGCGGCGCTTGACGCAGCAGTGTAAGTTGCCAGCCCCGCGCGTGGCGCACGCCTGCGTGGAGGGCTTCAAACTGCGTCTTGTTGAAAGATTTGAGTTTTGGACCCTCTTTTTTTTGAGCCCGGGGGGTGTTTCCAGCTCCCTGAGCGCCGGGGCCAGTTCGGACCATGAAAGCCGAGGTCGCTGGTGCTGCGTGAAACTCGGAGACTCGCGTACTGCTCCATCCACCCACCCCCATGTGCGGTGGGGCCTGGTCGTAAATTGTTTCCTATAATTATTCCCTTCTTTCAAGTTCAAGGAAGAAACTGCAGGTAGTCTTAGTGGAGCACTGAGACATTCGCTCTGGAAAGCTAGAGAGAGGTAGCTGTGCTAGTCTGGTTTTGCTGGTGCTGCGTGAAACTCGGAGACTCGCGTACTGCTCCATCCACCCACCCCCATGTGCGGTGGGGCCTGGTCGTAAATTGTTTCCTATAATTATTCCCTTCTTTCAAGTTCAAGGAAGAAACTGCAGGTAGTCTTAGTGGAGCACTGAGACATTCGCTCTGGAAAGCTAGAGAGAGGTAGCTGTGCTAGTCTGGTTTTGCTAAAACAAAAGGAAGAACGATGTAGCACTTTTTCATGGGCCAGACACTTCCTCAGATCATAGTCTGGAAGAGAAAGTGGGTCTGGCCCAGGAAAGCTCATCACCTATTAAACCATCTTGTTAGTTTTTAAAGCACTAAATCGTTTTTCCTTTTTGTTCTGGAAGGTTAAGCATGCATAGCCCTTGTAAGCTATACTGGGCTCATATTTGTATAGTTAAAGCAGGGGAAAGAAACAAATGCAAAATGTGTGGTTTTTCAGTGTAAATAAAAACATAATGTACCTTTTGAAATACTAGGTTTAGTCAAGGCCAGATATGATTGTGATGTATTTCAGGGTTACTTAACTATGCTTGGTGAGCACATGTCAGATGTTGCTTGCTACTGCTTACTATTGCAGGGGAAAACTCAAATAGTTTATGTAGCATGCATTCTGAACTTATGAGCTCAATTCAGATATGCCATGCCATACATTATGGCACTTCCTCATCTGGAATACTGTGTGTGCCACTGGTCGCCCTATCTCAAAGGGGGATTCAGATAAGGGCAATACAAATAATTAAGGGACTGGAAAAATAGATGAGTGGCAAGATTGGGGTTTAAAAGTCTTAGTGGTATAGTCATGTTAGTCTAACTTAAAAAATAACCACTTTTTAAAAATTCTTAAGACTTGGTTATTTTTTAAGGGCATGTCTACTAAGGGTCACTTAAAACTAAAATCAACTGCAGGGGTGTAGTCAGTGTGCCTAAATTTCAGTGTATGTTACCCCCCCCTCCCCATGTGATGCTTTTCTTAAGGTATTAGGTGACTGCAAACTGTCACTCCATAAAAGCATTCACATGATGAATTCACTCAGTTTGTCTTTACACCTGCAGCTATTTAACCCTAAGTTTCCCGTTTGCTCTGTGTAGGCATGCCCTTCGAAAGGGAGATGAATAAGTGATGAGAATATTGAAGATGCATTGAAGTTAGACTAATGCATCCCTTCTCTAGCTCATAACATAAGAACAAGCGAACATTAACATTGAAAGGTGGCAAAATGAAAATTGATTAAAGGAAATACTTTTTGGATTGTGGAACTTACTGCTACAACACTTAAAAAGATTCAAAGAGGGATTGGATGATTACATTGATTACAAGAATATCCAGAGTTACCATAGTTAATATTTAAATGAAAAGATTTGGAAGATATCTAAAACCTCATGCTCTGGGTATAAATCAATCTCCAGTTATATGTTCCACAGCTGCCTACTTTGGAGTTTCATGTACTTCCACTGAGGCACCTGTTTAGAGAAATAGAGTGGATATGATCTAGGTGCCCCCCTTGCATCTTGTTGGAGATGTAGCTGAGTTAATCGAACCAGCTAGGATCAGGGGCTGAGAAAGGGGAAGACTGGCTTCTTGCTCCCTCCCACTCACTGTGCCCCAGTGACCATTTAAATACATGGTATCAATAAGCCATTACCAAACTGAAGCTGCTGCTGTTTGCTTGGAAACAGTTACTGTGGGGGGTATATATCTCCTTGGCCTCCCCATATTTGTGTATTGTGTTCAATGAAAGCATGGAACACTTCAGAGACTTTTCAGCTTGAAACTCAGCAAAAAACAGAGACACTAAAATTACAGACTCTAACTTCTATCCCCTGCACTTTTGGAACTTTTGGTTGTATTTTGTAGGGTTGAGGGTTTTTCCTTTGGTGGGAGGGCACTTGGCTTTGACAATGCATATTACATTGGACAACTGAATTTAGACAAGCCCTTGTTTAACTTAATTGGTTTAGGTGAACTGGTACAACTTTTGTGACTTTTTTTTTAAATACCAATTTAAACCTGGGTTGTATCTGTTTAGGTTGCACCTCTAAACATAGATTGATTTATGTAAAGTAGATAGATCATAGTCTAAGTGGCCAATCTGCCAAATATTTGACAACTTATGAAATCAGTTACTCTTATGAATGTTTTCAATACCAGGTTAACAAGGTGGGAATAGGATTTCATGTCAGTATTCATGGAAGTGACCTTTAACTATCCTGAAACCTGCTGTCAAACCATTAAGAAAAGTAGCTTTGAGATTCTAATTTTCAACAGGCTTATTTGAAAAATATTGCAGTTGACAATTACAACAATTAACCTTGTTTTTGTAAGAAAATGTTTCTCTTCTACTTTACAGGTTTTGGCAACACAAGAATCAGATGTTTCAGACAATAGATATTTACAATTTCTTCTTGTGAACGACAAATCTCATTATGGAGGTGTGAGCCCCTTAAAAGGGACTTCAGTCTGAAATCTGGGAGGTAGTTTTGTGCACAAATAAAGAAACTAAAATTTAAAATATATTTCTGTAAGTGCTTTGCTTTATGAACATGGCCTACAAAGATCTTTTAATTAATCTATACAAGATATTAGAATATTCCAGTATGTGTATTAAATGTTATAAGAGTGCAGCTGTACCCATGCAACCTGGTTAAGTTGACGCCTAGTACTATACGATAGTGTCATGGAAGGAAATAACTTGGGGCTGTTCCACGTCTGTGGAACATGGTGGTGTCAGCTGGTATGGGCAAGAATAATTTTTGCCTGAGTTAGATTGCCTCTATGTAAGGCAGTTGAGTATAACCTTTAATTTTTTTTGTCTTGTGTGAAAATTGTTGAAACAATTGGTTTTTTGTTTAGCAGTCTAATACTTTAGAAATCTTGGGATTTGTTCTAAATGTCTCAGGTTAGAATTTCAACATAAGTATGCAACACTCTTATCAATCTTTACAGATATATGAATAATTTGGAATATGATAGTAAGATGCAGTGTCTTCAGTTTTACCATTTTAGTTTCTTTATTGGGGTGGATTTTGATCACCCTTCCATATTTTTTTCTTTACTGCATCCCAAATCTCATCTGCACCAGAGTGTCACTGACACTTTTCATCTCAAAGGGAAAATGACATGTGATGACAGTCTGATATACTTGCTGTGATTTGAGGGTGTGTAACTCTTCTTTTAAACAATTGTGCAGTTGAAAATTAGGAATTCCCAGTTAGAACACTTAAGAATCAACTAATTCCTTTAACATCTGTGCTCAGTGTTATAAAACAAAATGTTTCACTTTCAGGTCCTCACTTTTATATGGCCTGGGAATTATTCAAAATCACCTCCATGCACAAAACTACCTCCCAGAGAAAGACTTGTCCCATTCTTCCATAATATTTCATTATGAACATAGTGGAAAGCAGCTCATTCCTGGCTAGTCTGATGAATAACAGCACTGTGTGTGAATTGAAGTATGAGCTGTCATGTGAACTCTACAGAATGTCCACATTTTCTACTTTCCCTGTCAATGTTCCAGTTTCTGAAAGGAGTCTTGCCCGGGCTGGGTTTTATTACACGGGTGTGAAAGATAAAGTTAAATGCTTCAGTTGTGGCTTGATGTTGGATAACTGGAAACAAGGCGACAATGCTATGGAAAAACATAAACAGCTCTATCCTAGCTGCAGCTATATTCAGAATTTGACTTCAGTTAGTAATCTTGGATCATCCTCATATTCAGCCTTTTCACCTCCAGCTACAATCAACAGTCTTTCACCATCTTTGCATTCAATAACCATGACTCCAAGCTTAGAACAATTTGGTTATTACAGTACTCATTTCTCTAGTTTTCCTCAAGAACCACTAACTTCTGGGGCAGCGGAGGACCCATTGCACCTGAGAGTTAACTTTTATAATCCCGGAATGAGCGCAGAAGCTGCTAGACTACGTACTTTTCACACGTGGCCCCTGACATTTTTATCACCAACAGATCTAGCAAAAGCTGGCTTTTACTACATTGGGCCAGCAGACAAAGTTGCTTGCTTTACTTGTGGGGGGCAACTAAGTAATTGGGAACCAAAGGATAATGCCATGGCAGAGCATCGGAGATACTTTCCTAATTGCCCTTTCGTGGAAAATCAAACGAGAGATCAACAAACATACAGCATTTCTAACCAGAGCATGCAAACTTGTGTGGCTCGTGTTAAAACATTCATGAACTGGCCAACAAGAATTCCAGTTCGCCCTGAACAGCTTGCAGCAGCTGGGTTTTATTATGTAGGTAAGAAAAGTTAATTCATCTAATGACTTAGCAAACCCTGAAACAAACCAAAGCTAAGTAATTGCTTGTGTGAACAATTGTTTAATACTTTGTGAACTTGCTTTTAAAGGTCGTAATGATGATGTCAAATGTTTTTGCTGTGATGGAGGATTAAGGTGTTGGGAGTCTGGAGATGATCCATGGATTGAGCATGCAAAATGGTTTCCAAGGTAACTTGTTCAAAAAGTTCTAAGTGGAAGAATTAGGCCAGTGTACTTTCATAACTTCCTGTATAGTCTTTTTACTTGGAAATTTGTCAGTGGGAGCAGAGTTAGGTCAATACAGAGGGCTTTTAAATTTGTCTCTGTACAAGAGTTCCATATCAAAAGAATTGAGAACATCTCGACACTAACTAGGAAAGGATTTTCAAAGACAGATGTCGAACATGTAACCACGATTTGTACCTTTGTATATCTCCCCATATGCTAACTAATTTTAAATCGCTTTAATGAAGTGGAGAACAGTTCAAGGGGGGGAAATCATTGTTCAAATTGGACAGTTTTGTATGCTGATCTTTGATGCATAGTTTGCCATCAGCTATTACAGCCATGGCCAACCCGCAGCTCGTGA